CTGTAGCTTTACGCACGAGTCTAAAGCGTTAAATCAACTTTAGCTGCATACAGGGAACGTTCACACGGACGCGTTGTTGCGTTCGCATTTTTAAAAAGTTAGTATTTTTTAACATGCTGTAAGACGTCATGTTACGAATGCAACGCAAAGACGCAAATCCTACGCTTGTGTACATGAATTAATAATTAAAAACAGCTGACCGCATCCCGTGTGAACGCTTCTTATTAAAAGCGGTGTTGAACCTGATTTATATTATGGCGTTTCGCTTGTGATTTATTTTTTTCCCTTGAAGATCGCGACGTGAAAGTATGCAAAGCATGCAAAACGCATCAAACAATTACTGTAATCTCACTTGTATGTCAGTTTAGTCAGATTTAAAAATTGGTTTTGATCAAAGGGAATTAGGGGTAGCCTACTAATTAACATGCAAACACACATAAATGTGTTTATGAGGTTTTTACAAATTAAATAGGGCTGTGTTAGGGTGGAATTTGAGTTTTTAATCAGGAATTTACCATTGCAAAATTTATATGCACCAGAAAAGTTAAAAGTCTTATTTGTGAGTCATTATAATTTAATTTTGTACTTGAGAGGCATACGTTTGGAATATTTGTTCAAGAGCAAATATTCATTATTTTAAAGCTTGAATGCTGTATTTTTTTTCTGTGGAAAAGGAGAAAAGCATTTTCCCATATAACAACAATTGTTATCCGTATCTGTCAAGATCCGTAAAGGACCAAAAGACCATATAATTAGTTCAAAAAGTTCATTTTCTAAGCCTTCTGAGAGCTTTGTGTGAGGAACAGACCACAAGTGACAGTGACTTCAAACAACATCATTGGTTCTTGAGACCAAACGTCACTGACAACAATATGAGAAGTTTACTAGTAAATAGTGACTTAGATTTGGTTCTGTTCCTCATGCAAAACATTATAAGACTTGAGAAGACATGGAATATAGTTGAATGGATCACTTTTATAACAAGTTCATCGCTTTATTGGAGCTTGACAGATGCAAGCAGCCATTTTGCATGCTAAAAATGCATGCTTAAAAATGATTCTTTTGTGTTAAGAGAGAACTATTCCTTTATGCAGTAAGCATTGAAAAACCCATAAAGATCAAGCATTATTCTGGAGACTGGAGAAGACGAGTGTGTGTGTGTGTTGCTCAAGGGCTCCCGGTGGTGTCCTGGATTGTGGAAAGAGAGAACGAGAGAGTCACTTTAGGAACTTGTTCCCTGACAGAGCAAAATTTGTGTGACTGTCACAAGCAGACAGAAATCCAGCTGAAAATGAGTCATGGAGGCGCGTGTGTGTGTGACGGAAAGATAAAATGGAGAGGGAGGGGATTGATTCCCATGCACAATGTCAAGACAGGCGAAATCTCATTATGGGGCGCAGCTTGCGTCAGAGCCGGACCGTGATTGATGCTTTTTCCCGGTTGTGCTGGCGATTCACGTGCAGACGATGACTTTTCTCCAAGTGGTAGTAAAAGGGTGAAGCCTGCGGTGCGTGAAACAACCTGCCTGAGAGAAAGAAAGATGCACTGAATACACAACTATAGCACCGTCCTGTAACTGTAAAAAATGTATCTTTGATAAAGTATTGTACTGATAATGCATGATATATAATGTTTTTTTTTTTGCACATGATGGTACCAAGGTATTCTTTTGAAGAACTATTTACTGTAAATACAATAAAACATACACAGTATATGGCAATCATTCAGTAGCACGGTATTCCTCAGAATACCCTGTATATCCATCTGATAGCTTAACTGCACCTTTTGCATGGGGTTTTAGTAGAACTCTTACAGTGATGACCGGCTTTAACCTGCTCATCTGCATTAGCCTGCGTGTTTGCTTGAACTGCTCCTTTGACATTTACCATTTTTTATGAGGAGACTGAATGATTTACTTTTATTCAGGTGAACAACATATATATTTTAAGCCAAATACATCCTATTCAGGTGTTCTTTAGGAAGTATTATATGTGACCCTGGACTCTGGAGCACAAAAGCAGTCTTAAGTTGCTGGGGTATATTTGTTGTGTGTGTGTGTGTGTGGTCTTCAGTTGTGTAAGAAGTTAACTGTTTTTTACCAAACCACTGAGTCTGATCTGTTTTGCTCAAGGTGAATCAGGGACAGTGGAAAACGGCGCGACCTTCCTCGCTCAACTTTATAATTACTCACTCCAACACATCGTCGAACACTAGTCATTTAGAGTTGAAGGTGTGTGTGTGTTGTATTTAGTGCAATTCCCCGTTTGTGGAGGGTCAAAGCGCTCTGCAGCGTCCCGTTCCTCCCCCTCCCGCGCTCACATCAGGGTTAATGCAGGAAAAACGGGTGTCGCATTGATTACATCAGCCCTCCAATGATGTCATAGTTACGTCAGGGACTGCCTTTATTTGGTCTAAGAGGAAATGATGTCATGCTTTGCTGGGTTTTAGGTCTGGCTGTTGCCGCAGCGTTCCGGACGTGCCATTTTGAGTTTTTTTAAATAGTTTTAATGAAAATGCTGCTTTCGTTTGACCAGATATGTGATTGATCGATTGATCTGTTATTGCATGTTACGGGTCAAATCTGACACGTCACGTCTTCTGACAGTATTTCATGTTAAGTTAGTGCACACTGAATAGTGTGTGAGAGGGAAAGCGCGCGTGTGTTCCCCTCCGTGATTAATGAGGGCTTCTCCGACAGCATCAGTGACCTGTGAAACACAACTCTTAGAGAAGCATTCGTTTCGTTTCGGCTGAATCTGGGCGGGCGAAGGTTTCGCTGATTTTTCAGGAAAGAGGCCGAATGCACGACTCCACTAGAACAGTGAATCATTTCTGAGAATCGGATCTTTTGATTCATTTGTTGTTTTATGTCTTCATGTGCTCCCAAACCTTGTGATTTGACATTTTAAATATGTTTTAATAAATGATTGCGCTGAATATTACACTCAAGATTATGCTGATGCTTTTAGAGTCTGTGAACCGGTTCATTTTAAAAAGAACCAAATAAAAAAAATAATTGTTGATGAATCAGGTCTCTCCACATTTTTTAATACTCAGAATCAGAATGAGATGCATTGCCAAGTATGCTTGCATTCACAAGGAATTTATCTTGGTGACAGAAAAATTCAGAATTCATTAATAAAATAATAAGTATTTTTCTTTAAATAATAAATGAATAAATGTACTTATATTATACATACATACATACATACATACATAAATAAATAAAAAATTCTGTTAATGTTATTTTTTTGTTTTATTGGAGTCTTCAGTCTGCAGGTATTCTCAGGCGTGTCTCAGATATTTGGATTACAAATGCCAGAGTTAATGAATATTAATCATATTCTAATGATGATCAGCATATTGGCCAGACTGAAATTCATCCACGGTTATCAAATGTCAGCTCAAATCAAGATGCACAAAACATTCTGCAAAATAAAAGCTGTTCAGTCATTCTTGGGTTCAGCTTGTTCTTGTCAGGAACTGTTTTTGGCCGTATATTGTTCTTGAGTTGCTGTATGATTCTTAATGTTTCTGGATTTAATGCATTTTGGTTTCATGGACTAAAACACCACAACTAAAGGAAATAGAAAGTTCTCTCTGGAACTTCAATGTATGATTTAGAATGTTCTGGTTCTATGGAACCTTTACTGTAATCTTAATTCTCTTATGAATAGAATAGAATAGAGCCTTTGTGTGATGCACCAAACCTTCTGGAAGTGTGTGGGGTGGAAGGACTGGACAGATGAGACTGTACTATAGTATTGATGTACTTTACTGTGGTATTGAATTGAATTGTTGTGGGCGTCTTCATCACAGATGGAATATTCTCTGTCATATTCTCTGGTTTTCTCATTCTCAGGGATATCTGGTATCTGTGAGACCGACTGATCATTTTCAAAGAGATTTGCTGAGTTTACTTGGTTCAGAGAAAGCGTGTGTTTTTGTTTATTTTTCAGATGTGAGAAGATAAAATGAGATGAGTGTGTGTTTCTGCCGGAGAGAGGAATGGTGCTGCAATGCAGCAGGGCTCTTCTGTGTTTGAGAGCCTGAGAAGATCCTCCAGACACACGCGTGTGTGAAGTGTCAGTCTGCGTGTGCTGGTCTCTTCTTCTTCATTTTTCTTTGACTCTGTCCTGTTCATGTCCACATCTCTTCCTGTGGAGGTGAACAGTGTGAATGCAGGTAAACTGGGCTCTCTATCCTCTGCCCGCTGTGCTCGTCTGATTTATGGCTCTCCTGTGTTTCTTCAGGGCACATGAGCAGGAACACCTGAGATCTGCAACGCTTTCACTTTTCCTATTACAGCTATTCAGTTAAAACCAAAAATACCCTGCTAATTCAGATCGGAGTTAGACTGACATTTGATACTAATTCAAAGGTTTTTTTTATTTGATTTTATTTGAATGGCGCACGCGTGTGTGTGTGTGTGTGTGTGTGTGTACTGTAGATAGATAGGTATATAGATAGACACTGAAAAAAGAATACAATTTTATTTACACATTTTTAATTCTAAAACTATATATATACTGTGTTTTTTAAAAAATATTCTCTTCTGCTCACCAAGGCTGCATTTATTTGATCTAAACACAGCAAAAGCAGTAATGTTGTGAAATATTTTTACTTTTTAAAATAACTGCTTTCTATTTGAATATATTTTAAAATGTAATTTATCCCTGTGATCAAAGCTGAATTTTCAGCATCATTACTCCAGTCTTCAGTGTTACGTGATCTTCAGAAATCACTCTAATATGCTGATTTGCTGCTCAAGAAATATTTTATTATTAGTATTATTATCAATATTTAAAACAGTTGAGTACATTTTTTCAGGATTATTTGATGAATAGAAAGATCGAAAGATCAGCATTTATCTGAAATAAAAAGCTGAAATAAAAATTATATTATACACTATACCATTCAAAAGCTTGGAGTCAGTATATATATATAGTCTGTGCCTGCTGTAGAGAATGAAAATATGACTCTGTTTCTTCTTCCCATAGTTTCCTTCTCCTCTGAGTGAATGAAGCTGTCCGTCAGAAGGAACCGCACACATCACACACATCTCCTGTCCACTGCTGTCCGTCTCCAAAGCACTCGAGGCATTGATCTCATCCTCTGAAACACACGTTTGATTCCTGACTGCTGGAATCACCAAACAGCTAAACTCTGCACAGATGGAGGACCCCGACAGAGACAAGACGTCTCTGGTCAAAGGCGCTCGCGACATCGCCAAGGAGGCGAAGCGCCACGCCGTCAAGAAGGTCAACAAAGTGGTGGACCACGCTTCGAACGAATACTCCAGCCGCAGCTACAGCCGCTTCGAAAATGACGAAGATGAGGGCGGTGACGAAGACCGTTACTATTATCAGGACGGCCAGGCTCAGCGGGAGGATGACGAGGGTTCCAGCGACGCCACCGAGGGCCACGACGATGAGGACGAGATCTACGAGGGCGAGTATCAGGGCGTGCCTGCAGGGGACGGGGTCATGGATGGGCGTGGCCAGCCGCCGGCGGATGGGATGAAGGACAAGCGAGAGCTGGAGAAGGAGAGAGAGGCGGATGAGGAGGAGCTGGCGCAGCAGTACGAGCTCATCATCCAGGAGTGTGGACACGGACGCTTCCAGTGGCAGCTGTTCTTCGTGTAGTTGCCACATTATGCATGTACTTTTTCCCCAAATTCTGTTTTTTTCTGCTTTAGGTTTTCTGGAGTCCATTTTAATGGTTAAATTAAAATTTTGAAATCAAAAGCATGTCTAATTAATCGTTTTCACAAAACGTATACAATTTAAGAACAATTTCTTAAAGGTTTAACAAAAATTGACAGTTTTAGGGCCCTATGAAATCCGTTATTATTTTTTCCCAAATTTCATGCTTTCTGTTGTCATTTTTCTAGATTCCATTTTAAAGGTTTAATTACCAAAAAGTATGTCTAATCAGTTAAATTCATAAAACTTTAATAATTTATTAAAATACTTACAATAGTCACTGATAGCCTCGTGGGCAGCGCGTCGACATGTAGCGCCATTGCGCTTCGGGCGTCCCGTGTTCGAGTCCCGGCTCGCAGACCTTTCCCGATCCCATCCCCCCTCTCTCTCCCACTTCGCTTCCTGTCTCACTACTATCCTATCAATAAAAGCCAAAAACGCCAAAAATAAATCTTTAAAAAAAAAAAAATACTTACAATAATAGGGACCTATGAAATTTATTTTTAAAAAATTCAGAAATGTTTATGTTCTCTCGCTCTCACTCTCTCTCTCTCTCTCTCTCTCTCTCAGTTTAAAAAACGTAAGTTTATTCGTTTAGTTTTGTATGTTAAACAATGTTTTTTATTGCCAAGTCAAGTTGCCACTTGATCTCACATTAAAATTTGCAAAATCGCAAAACCAGTTATTACTTTAATAAGCATAAAAATACACAGTAAACATAAAAATAGTCAGTTCTGAATAGCTTTATGATATTATTGATTGATATCTTTTTTAAAAGAAATTAATACTTTAATTCCACAATGATGCATTAAATTGATCAAAAGTACCAGTAAAGACATTTATAATTTTACAAAAGATTGCTATGTATTATATATATATACATATATATATATATATATAATGATTTCCACAAAAATATGAAGCAGCACAACTGTTTTCAACATTGATAACAATCAGAAATGTTTCTTTAGCAGAAAATTCAGCTTTGATCACAGCAATAAATGACATTTTAATATATATTCACATAGAAAACAGTTATTTGAAATTATAATATTTCACAATTTTTACTGTATTTTTGATCAAATAAATGCAGCTTTGGTGCGCCGAAGAGACTTATTACAAATTTTTTTTAAAAAGGCACCAACAAACCCAAACTTTTGAACTGTAGTGTACATTCTTGTAACATGTAATTTCTCTTACTTTTTACATATGATAACACATTATGTCTACAGTGTTAGAAAATAATCAGCTGAAGGTATCTTAGCGCTTCTTGTACTGAAAGCACCTCAGCTATCTTAAACTGGAGACTGTAGGAGTTGACTGGATTCTGGAGCAGAGCCTCTGTTATTCATCTCTGTCTTTGTACCCACACGTTTCTGTCTGTACTCACATGCTGTAAAGACGACAAGCTGCTTTTTTCCGCCCTTTGATGTAATGGAGGGTTTTTTCCTTGTAATGAGAGAGTGTGTGTGTGTGTGTGTGTGTGAGAGAGGGCTTGTATATGGTGTGTAATGTGGGTGGTTGGGTGGCGTTTGCCAGCGATATCGTTCTGTGTCGTGCTTGTTTGATGGTTTGCGCTTGTGAGTGTGTGTGTCCACATGATGTATGTATTTTTCACCCAAATTCCTTTTTTTTTTTTTTTTGCTCCCAAATTCTGTTTTTTTTTTTTCCTGGAATAATGGTTAAATTAAATTCTAGTAATCAAAAAGCATATCCAATTAACTGATTTCCCAAAATACAATTTTACAACATTTTATTAAAAGTTTAACAAAAAGTACAGTTTTAGGGCCCTATACAAAGTTCTGCACAACAGAGGTTTACTGTTTAAATTAAAACATGGAAAAAATTTGTGATATCATACAAAATAAAGTTATTATTTTTTTTATTATTTATTTGAGAGGTACATTATGCTGTTCAATACTAATATATTTCTGCCACAATTTCTTCAAGTTAAACCAGACTTTTATTTTGATTGGTTGCGGTGAAGATGTTTGAGTTTCTGTGTGTGTGTGTGTGTATGATATGACCATAGTTTTTTTTTTTTCAAATGAAAACAACTATGTTGCGTCAGCAGCAGTCACTGTCATTATTTATGTGGTGATTGGCTGTGATTGTGTTGCATCTTGCAGCATTTGTCTTTCAACGAGGACAGAAAAAGGACTGGTCACTGGGAACTTGTTGCATCATGTCTGTGTAGGATATATGGTGAAACAGATATTTTATGATTCTTGGTGTTGTTCAGCAATGCAGAGCTCATTTCTTGATTTCATCAAACAATGTAATGCATTTGCATGCTCATTTGATGCATGTTGAATTATTTGACTAAGCGTAGTTGTTAATCCTGCTTTATTCTCTCTTTCTCTATGATTGGTTCATGCAGATACAGATCAATATTCTACACTTAGACTTGATTAACTCTCATGTGCTCTTATCATTCACACACAGGCTTTGTTTCAAATCCCACAGAGCTGCCTATCTAGTCAACATCTTAGTCAGACTACTGACGTAAGAACTGTTAGCAGGAAAATGATGCTTCCTCATTTTTTGTTTAAGGTTAAGGGAGAATTGCACATATCCTGCATTGATATGGCAAGCCCAGAATATATTGTACAGTAGCAGAATCATGGTAAAAACAAGAGTAATGCTGACTATAAATATACTTGTAGGTCCATTTCATTCAATATTTTTTAATGTTTTACAATAGTTATTATATAATATTAAATGTTTATAAATAATATTTACTATTTATTTAAAAATGACAGTACATTTTATTGCTGCTATTATAAATATTGAATAAATCAAATAAGTAAAAATGTTTTTGAGTGAATTATTTACCAAATTTTACAAGTTATCATGGTTTAAAAAAAGAAAAGAGGAAAATATATCAGAAGTAATGTCGACTATAAATATACTGGTAGGTTTATTTCAATACATTTTTATAGTTGTATTAATATGTACTGTATAATATGTAATGTTTGTAAATAATATTTACTATTTAGGTATTCAATACTTTTTATAGCTACTGTTACAAATATTGAATAATGCATATAATTTTAATTAAATTTTAAGTGGATTATTTCATTACATATTTTATGCTAAATTCTAAAGCAGCATCACATTTATCATGGTGAAAAACCCCAGAAATAAATCAATAGTAATGTTGACTATAAATATACTTGTCTATTTGATTCAATATTTGTAATATTTATTTATTATTAATTCTATAATATATAATGTTTACAAATAATGTTTAATATATACTTTATATATGTATATATAAAATATGTAATATAAAATATTTAAAATTTTTTGCTAATATTACAAATATTTTAAATAAATAAATTTAATATTTCGTTTTATTTAATGTGAACAGTCCTTTCATATTACATTGCATTTAATCATTCAGTATTTTTATAGTTATTTAATATTTATTATATAATATTTCTTTTTTAGTGATAAATAAATGTTTTTTTGCAAATATTGAATAATTCAAGTAATTCAAATCTCATTTTAGGTGAATTAATTAGTCATATTTCTTACCAAATTCTAAAAGCAGGATTACTTCTATTGTTTGTGAAGAATGGATCCCAGTGAAAAACATCTGAGTTGAGAGAAGTAACTACACATACGTTTACCGTTTCGTTAAAAGCTAAAAAGGACAGATTAAAACAAGCGTGTGGTTTCTGTAAGTAGTGTGCCATGTCTGGAGGTTAGTTGTAGCTTCAGCAGCAGGTAATGAACAGCGCGGATCAGAAACGACTCCTCAGCCACAGCGAGACGCTTTTCATTTGTCCGCCTGCCGCAGAGCTTCCATTATCTCTTATCTTTCTTCCTCCATTCTGCTCTTCTTCTTCCCCTGCAGTAAAGCTGCTTTATTTACCCTCTCTCTCTGTGATCAGCCGCTCTTTTCCTCCTCCTGTCCTCTTTGTGCCCATCGTACAGGACGACTCTTTCCTCCTAATGACACTGCAACGATAACGGCCGACACACACACCACACACACACACACACACACACACACTCACACACACATGTGCATTAGCAACAGGAACTTAACACAATCCTGTAAAGCACACACAGTCAGCCTATGGTCGGATCAATAACTCTGATCGATCAATTAGACGGCAAGCGGAGCGGATGGAGATATTCCGTATTCCCGGATAAAGAGATGTCAATCACAGATGCCATCGAGTGTACATGTTACCTAATTTGACCGTGAAACACACACTTGGTGAAGAGATCATACGGACTTTTATTAACCCTTGGTGTTGTTTGTGTCGTGGTCAAAAATGACAGATTTTTTTTCAATGAAATTAATGTACTGTATTTTAGTTTGATAATGTTTCTTTATTTAATCATTTGGATTTTTAGGGGATTTTATAGTACTAAATTATATTTATGGAACAGTGATGATCCGTTTATTACACTTTTTAAGCATAGACCTGAAAATGAAATTTCTTTAGAAACTGTGGTGAATCTTGAATGCTTTAGAGCACAGACTGAAGTTTGGTCTCTTTTTAAAGAAAACACTTGCGCATCCCTTACGAAAATTTCACCATGGCTTTATTGTAGTAAAAGTGTAGTAACCATTGTTTTTTTGACTTCTTGATTAGTATTTGAATTACCACAGTTTTACTGCAAACAGCATGGTTAAACTATGGTTGTATTTATATGTAGTATTACCATGGTTAATATTCGTAAGGGATTATTATTGTTGAAATAAAAAAAAAAGTTTAAAAGGTGAAACTAAAAATAGTTATAGAAGTTTACGTTTATTATTATGAAAAAAGGTTAAAAAATAGAAAAATGTTTAATTTTATATGAACTATATATTTTTCTAAACATTTTACTCTAAAACTTCAAGAAAATGAAAGCCATAAATCTGAACAAGTTGTGTTCCAAATTTGAGGTTGATATCTCAAAAAATTAGATTTCAGGAATAAATATAAATTGCATTTACATTACACTTTAATACATATTCACATAGAAAACAGGTATTTTAAATGTTAACAATATTTCATTTTTACTGTATTTTGCTAAATAAATGCAGCCTTATAGAAATTATAGAAGTGTACGTTTATTATTATGAAAAATGCAAAAAAATAAATAAAACAATTTTTTTAATATGAAATATACATTTTCCAAAACATGTTTTACTCTAAAACTGCAAGAAAAATGAAAGCCATAAAACAAGTTGTGTTCTAAATTGGAGGTTAATATCACTAAAAATGAGCGTTCAGTCAGATTTAGTTTGAGCGCAGTACCAAACGTTTCCACTAGATGAATGTTGTTTCCCATTCGTTTACAATGCAGTTATTTTTGACTTGATTGTGAACAATACAAATGTGACAATTTTTTTTCAGGACCATTTAACCTTCTTGAATCATGTCCACGATTTATTTATTTATTTTGTCTGTGTGTGTGTGTGTGTGTGTGCGCACATAAGTGCCAAAACCTTTACCAAGTTTCGTACCATTCCGATGAAGTAAAACATTTTTAAAAAAGGAAAATTTTTCAGTCAGAAATGGCCGTAGAGCACCAGAGGGTTCAGACATTGTTTTTAGAAATAGTGTAGATTACAGAAAGAAGGAATGAAAGAGAGAAGGATGCAGCACATGTGCTGTGGGTGATTTAGCGCAGTCGTTTGCTCGTGTGTTGGACAGATAGAGAGATGAGCAGAATGAACTCTGAGAGGTGAGATGCTCTTCTGCTGAAAAGACCCCTGAGAGGCGTCTGTAATATGCCTGACACTTTCTGATTTCACGCTTTACTGCTCGCTCTCTCTCTCTCATACTGCAGTATCAGCAACATCAGATGTTTTACAGATCAAGCTGTGTGTGTGTGTGTGTTGTGTATATTAAATGCAAGAAATTAATACTTTTATTCAACACGGATACATTAAATTGATCAAAAGCAGCAGTAAAGACATTTATAATGTTACAAAAGATTTCTATTTCAAATAAATGCTGTTCTTTTGAGCTTTCTATTCATCAAAGAATCCTGAAAAATCAAATGTATCACAGTTTCCACAAAAAAATGTGAAGCAGCTCAAATGTTTTCAACTGATAATAATCAGAAATGTTTCTTGAGCAGCAAATCAGCATATTAGAATGATTTCTGAAATATATATATAAAATGATTTTAATGTTTATTTTTAGTTCAAATATAATTGATTACAATTAACCGCAAGTATTCTCCAGCATCCTTTGCAGTTTCTTGGCTTGAAATCTTTTTTTTTTTTTTTTTTTTTTAGTTTTTTT